GTAGATTCTCTCTCATGATTGATGTTTTTTATCTCTCTCTCCCAAAAATCCTCAGGTGAGGATTAACAATAAATAAGTAAATAAATAAATAATAAATAAATATATCAACAGCATATTTCACAGATCTAGAACAAACTCTCCAAAAATTCATATGGAATAAAAAAAAAAAACCCAAATAGCCACAGAAATCCTGAGAACGAAGAACAAAGTTAGAGGGATCACAATACCAGATATCAAGCTATATTACAAAGCCATGGTTCTCAAAACTGCCTGGTACTGGCACAAGAACAGGCATATAGACCAATGGAACCAAACAGAGAACCCAGAAATTGGCCCAAGCCATTATGCTCAATTAATATTTGACAAAGGAGGCAAGAGCATACAATGGCGTCAAGACAGTCTTTTCAATAAATGGTGCTGGGAAAATTGGACAGATACATGCAAAGTAAATGAAACTAGACCACAACTTACACCATATGTCATAGCAATATTTTTAGCAATACAGCTCTTAGGGCAATGGAAACTAAGGAGAAAATGGGACTACATTAAAATAAAAAGCTTCTGCACAGCAAAAGAAACCATCAACAAAACAACAAGAAAGCCCACTGCGTGGGAGAACATATTTGCCAATGTTCTCTCTGATAAGGGTTTAACCTCCAAAATTTACAGGGAACTCATACAACTTAACAAAAGGAAGAAGATGAACAATCCAATCAAATAATTGGCAAAGGACCTAAATAGATACTTTTCAAAACAGGACATACAGAAGGCCAAAAGACATATGAAAACATGCTCAAAGTCACTAATCATCCAAGAGACGCAAATCAAAATGACAATGAGGTATCATCTCACACCTGTCAGAATGGCTATCATTAACAAATCAAAGAACGACAACTGCTGACGAGGATGCGGAGAAAAAGGAACACTCGTGCACTGCTGGTGGGAATGCAGACTGGTGCAGCCACTGTGGAGAACAGTATGGAGTTCCCTCAAAAAATTAAAAATGGAACTCCCATTTGATCCAGTAATCCCACTTCTAGGAATATATCCCAAGAAAACAGAAACTCCAATCTGAAAGCATATGTGCACCCCTATGTTCACAGCAGCACAATTCACCGTAGCTAAGATT